AAAAAAAGCACGGAGAGCCAAGAAGAAAAGTGACCTGTCATTTACACCACAAATTAGTGGCAGAGCCAGAACACGATATTTTTTGAGATGTAATTGACATATAACATCATATGTTTCAGGTGTACAATGTAATGATTTAATATTTGTATATATGGTGAAATAATCACCACAATATGTCTAATTAATATATGTCACCATACATAGTTAATTTTTTTATGTGATGAGAATTTTCAGGTTCTACTCAGCAAATAACACACTTTAAAGTAGCCTGAGTGCTATGTCTCTGGTTTTTACTTGTTTATTTAGAACTAAATTATCACATTTAGTTCTCAAAAAGATCCAATGAGGTAGGTGCCATATCATTCTCATTATTACTATTTTATGTAGTTAAACAAAACCAAAGCACAGAGAAGTTAAATAACTGCACCAAAGTCACAGAGCTAGTGAGGGGCAGAGCTGAGATTCTAATTTAGCAGCCGGGCTAAGCTCCTCCCACTACTTGTGACTCATCCGGAGGAGCCCAGAAGGGTTCTTTCCCTCCCATCCCAGGCTCACCTCGATGGTCTGGCACACCTCCTCCATCTGTGTGATCACGGCTTGCACACGGTCATTGCCCGCCACCAGCATCGCGATGCCATCACTGAGCTCACTCTGCCACACACACAGGCCAGCATTTAGGGCTGGAGGACCTGGTCTAGAATGCACCCCTCCCACTGCAGCCAGGGCTGCCTAGAAGAGAACTGCCCCCTCCATCCCACCATCAGGGCATCTTCAGGGCAGGTATTCCAGAGATCTAGAGGGTGAGGAACCATCCAAGAAATATGGAAGTACATTGTATGGACATTCACCAAATACCCACCAAGTGCCTGGCACTGGGTTAGATGCTTTATCTGTAGATTCATGCCTTCCATCAATTCTGAAAAATTCTTCATGATTGTCTATTAGGATAACATTGCCTCCTCTTCATTCTCTTTATTTTCTCATTGTGTGATTCCGATTACATATATGTTAGACCTTCTCATTCCCAGCGCAGATTCTAGGCTATTTTTTTTTTTCAGTCTGCTCTTCCTGTTTGCTAATTCTCTCTTCAGAGAAATCTCATATTCAATCCATCCTTTGAATGTTTTATTTCAACAATTGTATTTTCATTTCTAAAAGCCCTATATGGGTCTTTGTCAAATTTGCACTTTTGATAGTCTAGTGTTGCTTGTTTTTTTAACTCCATCTTTTTCAGAGCAGTTTATACACAGTGACTTTCTATTCTTTAATAATTCCAATATCTGAATTTCTCAGAGGTCTAAATCTATAAATTTTGTTTCTGCTAACTTTAGTCATGGGTATATTTCTTTGTGTATCTTCAATTGTGAGCTAATCTTTGCTGTTCTTAACCTAACAAAAGCCCAAAGGCTTAAACTGAGGCTGTCGTTTTTTTACCTACAGACAGAGTTTGCATTTGCTTTTGCCAAAAGTCAGGTGTCAAAACTGACCACTTCAGTTCCTCGGATTCCGATGTAGCCTGGAATTCTTGGGGGTCTTCATTGCAGGTCTCCCAACTTTTAGTGGTTTGGAAGCATTGTCTCATCTTTCCAGAGGGCACTGCCAGCATTTGCCCTCTGGGAAATCCTGACTTTTCTGTGCTCACCATTCAGGGTTTCGTTCTCAGTTCACTCGGCCTTCCTCTCTCCACCCCTACCTCTACTTGGAGATTTCCTTTTCTTCCTACATGCCTACCAATATAATTTAAAATTATGTTTCATGTAGAATCCAGTTGTGTGATGGTGAGAGGGCCTTGAGAGCATCTAGTCCACCATGCTGAAGTCTCTGCCTGCACCCATTATCTTATTTTATCCTGAAATAGCTCTCAGAAGAAGGTGTTTTCATCCCCAGTTTACAAGTGAGAAAAGTGAGGGCCAGAGAGGTCAAGTGACTTACCTCAGGTCACCCATAGGACTGGGACCTTAGCCCTGATCTCTAGCCCTTAAAACAGAGTGGAGTAAGAGGCTGAAGTCCAAGACCTGTCTTGTGCCCCCACCCCCACAGGCCTGCTCCCTCTGCGGCTGGTACCTTCTGGCGCTTGTAAATGGTGGGCAGCGGGGCCACCTCGCAGTCCTTGTGGGCACCAAAGACTTTGCAGAGAGAGCAGGTAGGCACTTCACAGCTCAGGCAGTAGATATTGATCTTCTCCTCCTCATGCTCCTCACACATGAGGTGCTGCTCGGCCTTGGAGTGCAGCGGCCTGAGGGGAGTGGGCAGGGCGGCAGGAGGGTCAGGGGCCAGCCACCAGGGAGCCGGGCAGATGAGGCCTGAGAGCGTGAGGCCCCATGAGCACCTCTCTTCCGTCTCCACCAACCACCACCCCCTTCTGTGCCCCTGCAGCTGGTGCTGTGGCTGGTAGGCGAGCGACTTCCACAGTGCTCTTCATTTGGGGGACAGACAGGGGCTTAGATCCAAGAATAGCCTCTGTCCCAGGAGGCAGAGAAGTCCCACAGGGCAGGAAGTAACGGAGGGGTGGCAAGGGCCTTGCTGGTGGATGGCCAGCCTCCCCAGCTGGAGAGAGTGAAGATGAAGCAGTGATCAGGAACCAGAGACCACCTGAGCGGACTGACCTGGGGCAGGTCCCGCCCCTCTCATCTCTAAACTGAAGGGGCAGGTTGATCTGGTGCCTCGCCCCTTAGCCCTGCCCTTTAGAGAGCGGCCCCACAGCTCACCGCGAAGACTCCTGCTTGTAAATGTCAATAATGTTCTCCACCAGCAGGTTGCGCTGCAGGCCGTAGACGCCGTGTCGGTCCAGGACAACCTCGTGCCTGCAGGACGGGCAGCGGAACCGGCCTCCGGAAGACACAGTGGTGGAGCCCCGGGATTGCCACAGAGGGTTCGAGGCCTGTGGGGACAGGTAGTGTGAGCGAACAGGCACTGTGAGGCCTGAGGGGACTGG